TGAAAAACATTGGAATGATCTTAAAAATGATTATTTGGAAAAAAAAAAGGTCACGAATGCAACTCTTCAATAAAATATCTGCTAATGTAAGTGAGCATACAACACACTTTCACAAACTTCTTCGGTTGTCCCTAATATTATGGGGGACGAACTGAGCACCTACTACATTTAATTTTCCTTTGATTTCCATTGTAAGCTTATTCACAGCAAATTATTTCCATTATGCCTGTCTTCAAAGATTCTTTTTCTGCCCACAGTATTTACCCACAGTATATTTATATACAAGCATATACCTTCCCTGCTTTTGCTTTGCTGAATAAACCAAGTTATCCTGGCCTTTTTTTTCTTGCAGCAAGATATCCTTTAGCCCAGACCACGGCTGCCTTTTTCATAGGCATGTGATGTTGGCAGCTGTCATCTGAACTCACACTCCCAGAAGATCCTCTTTTGATTCCTCCAGATGAATGGATTCTAGCTAATAGCAGAATATGTTGTCACTAACCCACAAGTACATGCCTACCCGATTCTGTAACTTGCCCTCTTCTTAATTTTATCCTATATCTATTCCTCTCCTAGTCCTCCAATGTCATCCATCGTTTCTTAGATATCTTGATCTTCTTCAGCACTGATGACTCTCAATTCCACACCATCAGAGCTTAATTAATTAATATGCACTCCCAGTTTTTGCAGCAAATACATTAATTAAACACTACATAAGAGTTCCTCACAAAAGTCTACTAATAATTTTATTATGGCCCACAAGTACTTTTAAGCAAACTGGAACATATTTATCTTTTCCTAGTTTCTCACCTACCTTATAATTCTTCCAGGAATATCCAATCTTCTACTTTCAATCTACTTTCCCGCTAGGCACAAATTGTTTTCTGCAGTCCAGATACAGAAAATCTACTGCACTACTTTCCCCTAGAAATCACTGTATATGAAAGAAAAATCACCAGTTAATCTGACATGATCTCTCTTTGGAAAATTCATGTCTCATTTTACCATAATATCCATGCATCACTACATCTCTAAAAATATATACATATTTGTAATTTTGTAGTTGCTCTAATGGTCATCTTTTATCTTCTTTCACTCCAGAAGTGCAACTAACTCTTCATTAACTCTTTATTCAAAAGCAGAAACTGGTAGATACCCCAGAAAAGGGGAAGAAAAGGTGGGAATTTAGATTCTTAAAATAATAATGCAGCCTTTTGCACTGTGAAAGAGCAGCAAGCCTGAATAGTGCTAAATTTGAGCTGGGTGGCACTGAGCCCTTCTTAAGTGCAATACTTTTGGGAGCACAATACAGAGGGTCACTAGTATTTCTGAAGGAACAGCTGTGTAACAAAAAGGGTATCTTAAAAAAAGAATTATAAATCCCTTCTTTCATGTTCCTTCTCTTGCCGCACAAGTGACTATTCTGAAGCCGACCAAAGATTCCTCCTCCCCGTTCAGAAAATCTGTTTATGCTTTTATGCAAGAACTAGTTGGGGTCTGGGATAGCTCATTGGCTTCTCTGTGCAGGCCACGCCATTCTCAGATGAGTTTTATAATAAAGTACCTGGGTGTTTCTGATCTACTTTATAGCTTAGACTTTAAGCTGAAGAAGGATAGCTAAACTCTTTTCTGAGTCTTTGTCTTGAATGCATTATAGTCTCATTCTCTTGAGTCCATATTTCAGCAATAAACCTTATCAGACTCAAACTGGCATTACATACAGCCAATTGCACCGTCTCTGTGTCTACTGCCCAGCTAATTAGCAAAAAGTTAGCTGACAAATGAAGTTTATTATTACATGTGCCATTTTCCCAACAATACTGTAGTCCCCTTTATCTGTTTTAATACTAATTAAAAAAAAAAAAACTCCTGAACCCTCAAATTAACACCTATCCTTTCAGGAGTCTGACATGACCTACTTTCTCTTCCCCAGTGACCATCTCCCCATATGAATCCATCAGATGTTGCTTCCCCCTTGGCTGCAGTAACTTTCCTCCCACAGTTCCTTCCCACTGGGCACGTCTGCCTCTCACACCACCCATAGCAGATCCCTAGCCCTACAGGCAAGAGGCAAGGGACTCATTGGGCTCAACACCAAAAGGACACTTGACATTTACATCATTATCCCATTCCAAAGTCCAGTTTTTCCTTTGCTGTCTATTTAATCACCAAATAATATTTTCCATTTGTTTTCAGTTTTACCCTTTTGACTTTTACATGTGACTCTACTTGGTGATCTGTTTTTTCCATTTCGCTCCCTAAAGGCTCACTACTAGCTGCTCACGTACTTTTAGAGATAGTTATTTGTTGAGCTGGGACAGAAAATCTTTCCCCTAGTACTTTTTCTACGTTTTTACATTACATCTTTTTTTTTTTTTTTTTTTTTTTTTTTTTTTGGAATAGAACTTCAGAATACTTTTAGTGTCTCTGAGCCAAAGAAATTCCAATCCTCCTCCATAACCAAGTCCCTGATTTGCCACTTAATTAGAATTAGTGCACTTGTAAACACTGGAATCCAGTCTTTAATGCTATGTCTTACCCAAGCTACCTCCCAAACACCATTGCCTGTTTGCGTGACTTTTTCGTGGTCGCTTCACAGAATAATTGGGTCTTACTATTACTGCTTTAGAAATTAAACTCTCCCAACAAGAGGGCTTGACTCTACTTCACCCTAATAGTTTTTTAGGTTTTTCTTTTTTCCCCCGCCCCGGTCTCCACAGCACAGCTGGGCCGCCGGCGGGCCGGGCGGCCGGGTGGCCGGGTGTGGCGCCGCCCGCCCCGGTGCACGCCGGGTCGCGTGCCCGGTTACCGTTGACACGGGCAGAGGGAGGCTGCGCTCACCCGGGCGCGCTCCGCCGCTCCCGGCGGCAGCGATGGTGAAGGAGACCATCCGCGTATACGCGCGGGTGAAGCCCCTGGGCAGGCGGCAGCAGGCCGGGGTAGGCGAGGAGGTGGCCGCGGCAGTGCCGGGGTAGGGGCCGGCCGCGAGGAGGGGCGAAGCTCGCCGCGGCCGGCGGGAGCCCCCGGGTCTCGGCCGGGCCAGGAGCTGCTTTTCCGCGCGTGTAGTTGGGGGAGAGGTTGCGTGGGAGAAGCCGCTGGGGTGCCCCTGGACTCGGGGTTGAAGGAGCGATGTGGATTCTGCAGGGGGATGTGGCTGATGTGTGTCTTCCGTTTGGAAGAGATAATAAAAAGATTCTAAGGAATAATAAAAATATTGGAAATGTTCCTTGCAAGCATTCCTCGTGTTTAGGTCACTTTACTGTCTTCTGTCTCCTAAGAGATTACTGCGGGTGTCTTGGGAGGACATTGTTTTGGGGCTCATGCTTTATTTTTCAGTAAATAGCTTGGAGGTTAACACACTTTATGAAGCAAATCGTGTCAAAGAGGTTCAGTATCTTCTGAAATCCTATGGTGGTGCTTACACGACAACAAATGAGTTCATATGTGCTTGTCTTGTTGTAAAATAGGTGAAGGAAATTATGCCCAAAGAATAAGAATTTTTAAAGCAAGCAGAATAATGTAGCTGGTCTACTACATTATCTTAAGATACTGATTAGCCATGCTATGCAATGAAATTCAGAAATGTGTATAAAACTTGTCTTTTGGTAGTTTTGGTATGCCAAGCTTACATGAGTTATACCTGTAGGCTTTTTATACCTGTATACATATATAAAACACATCCATAATGTTTTACTGGTAAGATCGTTTTGTTAATTTATATCCACATTTATCAGATATATTCAGTTGATGAAGAGGAGAAGTCTGTGTCAAGTCTAGAGATTATTGTGCCGCGTGATTTAGCAGATGGATTTGTCAATAATAAACGAGAAAGCTACAAGTTCAAGTAAGTGAAAACTTCATCTTTTTGTCTTCGATGGTTGATGCCACTTCTCTTAGTGATTAGATCTACAGAATCAGGAAAGCCTTTTCTTAGAAATAAGTCTGCATACAGTTATCTTTATTTTTACTATAACTCTTTTAACAAGAGGAATGCTGCAGCATACTCTGCCCTGCATCTGATAGAAATTGATAGTCAAGGCTGTCTGTCTAAATATATTATATAATATATATATTACGTGTGTGAATATATATATATTTATCTATCCTTTGCATGCTATTATACATTTCTTGTTTCTGTGTCAAACATTGCATCTTCAGTTATCAGTTCTTTAGTTCCAACAGCTCATTTTAAATTTGCTTGTGAAAAGTGAATGCAGGACTGTGTATTCTCATGTGACCTAATGAGTTGGCACAGGCTGGCTAAAGATGTTGTGTTGTAAAATACTTGGTTTAAACCTGTGGATTTCAGGCATAACCACAACATAATAAAGAAAAGCAGAGATTGTTAAAAGAAACATAACAATATAAATATTTTTTTAGAAACTAAAAATAAGTACCAGCAATATCTATCATATATTTTCATATTTTCAGTAGAAAGTTGGAGGCAATATTTTAATTTTTTTGTTAATGCAATTAAACATATAAACACATTTAAAGAATAAGATGATAATATCTTGGTCCAACTTGAAAATTCTGTGTTTTTATTAAAAATTATTATTTTTTTTTGCTAGTGAGAAAGAGTGCATTTGACAAACATCTGCAGCTCAAACTGATGTCATTATAAATCTGTTCTCCTTTGGAACAGAGTCACTGCCCTCTCCAAATAGATGAATATACAAGACTAGCTTAGGCTGCAGATGCCCAAGCCAGCTGTAAGGAATACTGACGTGTTTTATGACTTTATTCTTTGTTACAAAGTGTGTAAGACAAATCCTGAGAAATATTGAGAAAATGTAATTGTTTATGTAACAGTATGGAGTATTTCTTTTTTTCCTTCTTAAAAGCCCATTCTTTGTTTTCTTTGTATCCTAGTCAACTCGATCATTATTTGCCTGTGTTCTTATTTTCTTATCCAAGTGTCAAACAAAATTGACTGAATGACTTGGCAGATTAAATGTTTGCAGGTTGGAATGTATGCCTCTACCTTTTGTAATATATGCTTGTCTCAGATTAACACACTGCATAATATCTTGGAGGCCATGGTGAATGGTGAAATACCCCATGAAATGCTATGTGAATATACACTTTAATATAGGAGGGGTAATGTGACAGCATGGCAAGGCACAAGCCATCCAGGAGGTGTCTGAAGTTCACTGATGGTAACTTCTTGAGACGTGAATAAGGAGCCCGTGTGGTGTCATGCTGTGCTGGACTGAGTTCTTGCAAACGAAGAAGAAATAATCAAGAATATGACAGCTGGGGACAGCCTTTGCTGCAGCAGTTATAAGATGCTGGAATTCAGGGTCCAAAGAGGAGGGAGAAAGGCCAAAAGTAGGGTCACAACTTTGCGCTACAGGAGAGCAGACTTAACAGCTTCATAAGACCATTGTTTGGGAGAATCTCATGGAACCTGATCCTGGAGAGAAGAAGAATCCAGGAAAGCTACTTGATATACAAAGATCACTTCCTTCCTTGTGTTCAAGAATGGTCCCATCTTGATGAACAGAAAATCAGCAAAGGTGTCAGGAGGCTTCCATGTGTGAACAAGAAGCTTCTAGCTGAACTCAGACATGAAAATGAAACAGTCAGGAGGTGGAATTGGGGTAAGATGGCGCAGGAGGAATATAGAACCCTTTTGTGAGCTTGCTGGGATGGCGTTAGAAAAGCCAAAAATGCTCCTAGCATTGAATGTGGCGAGGGATGCGCAGAGCAACAAGAAGGGCTCCTTAAGAGATATGAGCAGCAAAAAGGAAGATGAGTGAAAATGTGGATCCACTGCTGGGTAGTGGGGCAAGGGTCCTGTAGGGAAATGGTGAGATAGAGCCACAAGTGCAGAGGGATCTGGCCAGTATCCGTTATCTCTGCACAGGCACAGTGACTCAGAGAAGTTGCTGCAGACAGGAGAAAGCGAATGTCACTCCTGTGTTCTGGAAAGGCAAGAAGAAGGATTGAACGGACTCCAGAGTGCTCAACCTCACCTTGATTTCTGCCAGGATGGTGAGGCAAATAGTCCTGGTAGTTATTTCCAAATATGCAAAGGACAAGAAGCTGGATAAGGACAAGAAGTTGTTAGCAGGATATATGAAGGGGAAATCATGTTATTTCAATCTGAGAGCCCTCTACAAGGAGATGACTAGCTTGGTGGATAAAGGGAGAGAAGTATATGTTGCTCAACTCAACTTTGGTAGGCCTTTTGGCACTGCGTCTCATCAAGTTCTCATAGATAAATTGATGAAATATGGGCTAGATAAATGAACAATGAGTTCAACTGAAAAGTGCCTTGAGGCTGAGCTCAGAGTTAATAAAAACAATAGCACAAGGCCCAGGTGGAGGTCAGTCTCTGGTGAAGATGTTTAACGTATTCATTAATGGCCTAGGTGATCGGGAGAAGTGCACCTTCAGCAAGTTTATAAATTATACAAATCTGGGAGGCATTGCTGATACTTTACACTCTCAAAATAATTCAGAGGGACCTCAAAAAGCTGGAGAAAGAAGCAGAGAGAAACATCTGAAGTTTGACAAAGGGAAGTGCCAAGACCTGCCCCTGGGGAGGAGTAACCCTGTGGACCAGTGCAGAGCTGGACTGAGTGGCTGGAAGGCAGCTTTGCTGCTTTGGGGGACCTAGCGGATAAGCTGAACGTGAGCCAGCAGTGAGCTCTCACAGCTTGCTTTCAGCAACAAAGGCCAATGATGTCCCAAGCTGCATGAGGCAGAACATTGCCAGCAGGTTCAAGGAGGTGATTCTTCCCCTGTACTCCGTATGGGTGAGATCATATCTGGAGTGTCTAGTTCTGAGCTCCCCAGTATGGGAGACATGGACATATTGGAGCAAATGCAGGAAAGGGCCATAGTGATGATTAAGAGAGTGGAGAACATGAGACATGAGGACAGGCTTCAAGAACTGGGACTGTTGAGCCTGGAGTAGAGCAAGCTGAGGGGCATCTTATCGATGTGTGTAAATATCTGTTGGGGATGAGTGTAAAGATGCCAGAATCAGAGGCTTCTCAGTGGTGGCCAGTGAAAGGATGGCCGCCTTGATGAAGAGTCAATGGACACAAACTAAAATCCAGGAAATTCCCTTTAAACATAAGAAAAAACTCCTTTTTTTTTTTTTTTCTTCCTGAGAAGGTTTATGGGATCTCCATGCTTGGAAATATTCAGAATTAGTTTGGACCGGGTCCTGAGCTGTAGTTGTCCCTATTTGGACATGGAAGTTGGCCTATGTGAACTCTAGAGATCCCTTCTGACCTCAACCGTTCTGTGTTTTTTTTATGATTCTGTATGGTAGTTCTTGTTTCCTACATAGGAGGGGACAGAGTTTAGATTGGGTTAAATATCTTCTTGCTTGCATACAGTGAGCGTACAGCAGAATGCGGGGAATAGTTATGAAAAAAATGTGAGCCCAGTGATACTGGTGGGATGCTGTATTTGGTTATAGTGTAATCTATTTATCCAGGTTTTAGCATGGGGCCAGTTACAAACACTGCTTCTCTTGATGGATCTAAAATACGTGTTTGTTTTTTTTTTTCCCAAGCCACATCATTTTATCAGAGGATTTTATTGTACAGATCTTGTCAAAGCAGCACTGTGTATAGTCTATTTATATACAATAGCACAACAGCATGCTGTGGGTAATGACACAGGGAAAACATTGTACTAAGTTATGTAAGCCTAATGATGTAAACATTGACTATTGCAAAAACAAAGTGAGTATGAATCAAGTAGTGTTTTAAGATTCTGAACAATTATTATTTGCCTAATATTTTCAGATTTCAGAAAATTTTTGATCAAGAGGCTAAACAAGATGTGGTTTTTGAAAGCATTGCCAAACCAGTGGCAGAATGGTACGTTGTTGTTCTTGTGAGTAATGAGGGGTAACACAGGGTCAAAAGTAGCTTTTATTGCATTATTTGGAGAAAAACTAATAAATGTTTATCTCGCTGTTGCAAAAGTTTTTAATTTTGTAAATGCTGATATGCCTTTGGTAGATATGCACAAATTTCCTAGGATTTTTACATGTGGAAAGGTTCTTTCATTAGCACCTAAATTAGCATTGCTACTTTTACCTCTTATGTTGCAAAAGCATAGAAATTCATGTCTATTTGTTTATTTGTTTACTGTTCAGAATCCAAAATTTGTAGTAAACTCAGAAGTATTATTTCAGGTACCAAATTCTTTCTCCTTCATTGTCACATCCACTCATGGACTTAACCTATGTTTTTGAAAGTTGTTCATCATTCTCATATGTCTCCCACCATGTGGGGTGGGGAGGGAGAGGTCATCCTCATTTTGACTCCTGGTCATTCTCCAACTGTTAGGTGCATGTGGTGTGTTTAAAAAAATATGCTTGGCTCTTTTTCCAGTTGTCAAAAAGTTTTATTTTTTTCCCCTCCATTTTCTGTATAAAAGGAACATGTGAAACAGGAGAACAGACTCTGAAAATGAAGAGCTAGTGAAACTGAAACTTGATAAACATAAACTAAATATGCCTGAAAAAAATATTTTTCTGAATTCTTTAATCCAAAATGGATTTCTTTGCATATCTGACTTTACAATATATAGCTTCAGGTCAATTCCTTTACTTCACTTTGAATATTTTTGATTTTATGCTAACTGCAGAGAAATTACTGTATCTCCAGTACACTTAATTGTGCTTGGAAAACAAAGGGTCTGAACTCTGTTCAGAACATGCTGTGGATTAAATTATCCCCAACATCATCATACTGTTGAAGCTAACTAGCAAAAGACAGGCTTTTTTTTTTTTTTTCCTTTGGGGTATTTTGGCGGAGTATGGAATGGTTTTCTAGTTGCATAATTCACCTCTGTAGAGCTTCTAATAAACAGGAAGGGACTTGACTTTTCCTTTATTTTGATGTTGGTTTATACAAAATTTTCATACATTGATTTGATTACATAAACTTTAGTTTTCATTTTGACAGTTTTTTTTCAGTGCTTAAATGCTGTTGATCAATGGAACTTGGGCAAAAAATCATCTCTAAGTAGCTGAAGCTTTATTTTTATTTATAAGATGAAATTATAAAATCATTCTTAGACAAGAATTAAACAAATTCGTATATTAAACAAGAATATTCTGGTTTTTTGAGCATTAACTTGTTAAGCCTTGTCTGCAAATATTTTTGTTGTTATTTATCAAAGTGAAGAATATCTTTGTTGTGTTTTTATAGTAGATAGCCAATGTCTGAAATGAGTTCCTGCTTCTCCTCCTCTTCCTTCATTTTTATTTTTCAGTCAAAACCAAATGCTTTAAAAGGTCTTCATAGCTCTTTGACTGTTTGAGTCCTCAGCTGCTGATTCAAATTTCCTTTCCATTGGTGGACAAAAACAATTGTCCTGTTACTTCTGAAAGACCACAGTCCTTTGTGGCAAAATTCTCATCATTATTTCTTTTTGTTTGTTCTAATTTGACGTTCTTGTTCAGAGAAAAACAGTTAAAATTTTGCTTGTGTATTGCCAGAGAAAAGAAATATGCAGAAAAGTGTCAATGAAATGGATCAGTAGCATTTTGAGGTTCTTTGTCATGCATACCTATAGTCATGAGAAAATTCGCCTTAGAACTTAAATACCCAAGAAAAAAAATCTTGTTTAAGCTAAACCCAGCAATACAGTATTTGTGACCCTAAAAGCTTTCTAGTTTTTCTTGGATGGAAGAAAATTGGGTGCAACTTGTTCTACTGCCCAGATCTGCTCTGTTTGATGTTGTGCCACTACTTTTCTGCCTTTAAATCTAGTTACTGTCGTCCTGCCAGTGGTTTCAGAGGCACCAGACACTAGTGTGCTTGGTTTTCTTCTTTAGTCAGAAGTGCCAGTCTCTGAAAATCATTACAAGCATGTGATTTGCTTGATTGCTTTTATCACTTTTTGTTAAAGCTTGACAAGGAAGAGATCTTCCTTCCTTGGTTTCTTTTATTTTCTTTCCTCTTCTCTTTTCCTTTTTGATTGCATATTCTTAACTTTTTTTGTGTGGCCAGCTTGATCTTTAAGATGCAGTGCTAACACAGTGACTGTGTTACTGTGTTCGCTAATAACCAAACTTTAGTTTAACAACAGGACAAGATTATGCTGTTAATGCTTCATTTATCAGAGTTATGATGATACTTACAATAAGAATTTAAGTATAGCTTTTGAGTTAGTTTTGTTTTCAATTCTAACGTGGCCATTGTTTTTGTGTTGACTTACTAAATAATTCTCTTCAGATGTATCACGCAGTTTAGAAGGAACTTAGCTGGTGATACACCTCGTAGTAGGCAGCTGTGGTTTTTGAAAGACCTGATAACCTCCATGATAATGCTCTTTTATTTTTTTTTCCCCTTCAGATTTTCAATTTTCAGTTTCTTCTAATGTGCTGTGTTTGCTTCAATCATGAGCACCTGCATTATACTCTTTATGCTTTATTTTTTCTGCTTCTTCATACAGAGAATGTAGTGAAAATATTTTGCAGAATGCTACCTAATGTCGATCATATTGCCTGAAGCGGAAGTAATATCATTAAGATCCATTTTGTGCAGTTTTAGGAAATATTTGACTAGTAATTTAAAGAGTTTGGAAAAATATTTGCATCGTTAGACTGTTTTGTAACACAGAACCACAGGATGTAGACTAAACATCCTAATAGGATGTTTCTTTAATACACTTACAGGAATCCAGGGACCTTCCTTTGCTTTTCTGCTTTCGTATCTTTTTTTTTTTCTTCTTGTGTAAGTCCATGAATAAGATAGGCGAAAGTATTTAGACCTGATGTGTTTTTCATTTATTATTTTTTAGCTCCCTAATAACTAAAGCATTTGTGTTTTGCCATTTAATCAAGGAAAACAAAATATCACAGAATCATAGAATGCTTAAGGTTGGAAGGGACCTCTAGAGGTCATCTAGTCCAACCCCCCTGCACACGCAGGGTCACCTAGAGCACGTGGCACAGGACTGCGTCCAAGTGGGTTTTGAAGATCTCCGGAGGAGGAGACTCCACAACCTCTCTGGGAACCAGTGCTCTGTCACCCTCACTGTTAAGAATTTTTCCTTGAGTTCCTGTGGAACTTTTGATGTTTCAGTTTCTGACCATTTCCTCTAGTTCTATCAGTGGCCACCAGTGAAAAGAGGCCAGCACCATCCTCCTCACTGCCTGCCTTGAGGAGCTTGTAGACACTGCTCAGGTCCCCTCTCAGCCTTCCCTTCTCCAGGCTGAACAGGCCCAGCTCCCTCAGCCTCTCCTCACAGGGCAGATGTTCCAGGCCCCTGATCATCCCTGTAGCCCTGCGCTGGACTCTCTCCAGCAGCTTCACATCCCTCTTGTGCTGGAATTAAATTAGCATTCCTTTTAATTTTTCTTTCAAGGTATGCTTTCACTATGGTCATCCAAGCTAGAATAATGCTGAAAGGCATTTGCTTTTGTCAGCTTCAGTAGGATTATGCATTAATAGCCGCTCCAAAGTTTGAACCTTTAGATGAGGGATTCCTGGAAAAAAGAACTCTGACTTAGGTTATAAGATCTTGGTTCTAAATGAATGATGACCTCTATTTTTGAACATCATATGGTAAAATGCTTAAATTCTGTAGATTCTTATTTCTAATTGTGAAGGTTCTTCTTTTGTTTTGAAGTTATTGGGGACAGGCAAAGGGATGTATCTTAGTGTAAATTTCTCCTAGTAAAGCACATGGAGTTAATATTGGTATTCCTTTGAAAGTAGTTAAGCTGCAGACTGCCTCCTGGATTTGATGCAATTGGTACTTTTATTTTTTTTTGTATTTTAGACCTTAAGTTGTGGTTTTATTTTTCTGCATCTTGGAAATCTTGCAATAGTTATTTGATTTTATATGGGGAAGTATATTGCTCTTTTAGGTTTGTCTTGAATCTTTCAGAACCTTCTTGATTTAAGTTCTTTTATTAAATTATTGATGCAAACTTTACATATTTTGCTAGCTGTCTTGAGGAAAATATTATTGTGCCATTTATTTTTGTGTAATTTGAAATAAAGTTTTCTGTTTTGAGTATTTAACAGTAAAGTTACACATATGCAACATGTCAGATATTTAAAATATTTTCAATAACATTAGTAGCAAGAGTCCAAGACAGAACCTTCAGAAAAGTTTTAAAGTATGAAGGCAGGCAACTTATGTAGCTAGAGAATGGAAGAGCGAAAGGCAGTCACGGTTATTTATGTATTCTGTAATATTCAGAAGTCGTCATCAGAATTCATATTCAATTTCTTGCATCTCAGGTAGACTTAAGAGACATTTTCCTTTCTGGAGAGAGATCTCGAAAGAGCATACCTATAGGGCTCCCTTCCTCCTTTGAGGGGGAGGTCCTTCTTTTCAGGAAGAGACCCAAATCAGATACTAATTCCTTAACTGTATCTCTGAGAGCTTCAGTAAGGAAATAGCTGAATAAATTCTTCAGAAAATTCACTAAGCTTTCCTTCTCATTTGGATTCATTCTACCTGAGCAGGATATAGGAGTATTCCAAAAGTCTTGCTCATATCTATTAATCTATGTCTCTGTCCTATCGTGGTATTTTGTGATGTGCAGTTTAAGTCTTTTTCTTTATCACATAAGACACTTCTGCTAATGCTTTCTTACAAGAAGGAGAAAATATTTTATTTCCATTCCTAACTGCAGCAACATTTAGGTGCAAGTGAAACGAACAAGGAGTGACAGAAAGAAGGCTAGGTCGTGTTGGAAAAGAACATATTGTCATGTGGACCATTGGTAAATATGTTGCAAATTGAGTCCTTTTAAATATAGAAGCAAATAAGATTATAGCTATTAATAATATATGCTGTTTCCATAAAAGTTGGTTTATTTATTTATTTTTTTTATTTCCTCTGACCA